AGACTAGGCTTCTCGAAGACTTGTTTCATTCCTGCAGCTTGGTTGTTGTGGAATTTGACATTTTGAGTCGTGTCTGCCATCCACGGAGACTCAAATGATGTGGTATCTTGATCAACAAGATGAGTGTACTTCGTTCGCCCACTTCGGCCAAAGTTCTTGACCTAAAAAATAAAGACAAAAAATTGACCATATAGAAAAACGCATTCAATTTTCAGTTTCCCTCTTTTCTATCCATAAAGTGAAATGGTGGAGGTAAAGCTCTAGAGAACCGCGCTCTTGACAACAGTAGGTTACTATTAGTAAAGTTCAGATGGACCTCTGGACAGGGTTGCACAAGTGAAATGAAAAATATGAATGATTGGAAATTTCTATGAAATATTTCACGTATGAAAAATATGAAGTATAATTTTAGGGGCTGAGCATGCAACACGCACAAAAAAATACAAAAAAGCAAAAAGCATTTGCCTTTCATTTAGTTTTGCATTCTAATTTCGAAAAATATTTTTAAAAATCTCTCATATTAATCTAAAATTGTATGAAATATTTCACGTAAAATTTTGTTATTTTATTTTTCATGAAAAATTGCAATCCTGCCTCTAGACAGGGTATGAATTAAAGCACTATGCAACATAGTGTGCACAAGGAAAACAAATCACACGATGAGAAGTCTGGAAATCAACCCCCGAACTTGATATGAGTGTTTACAATTAACATTAGTTAAGCATAGCGAATATGCAAATGACGTTATTTGCATAACGTAACTTCCATTTGATCTATATTGAAAATAATCGTTATAATCTCTTTGAGTCGTTGCTTTTTGAACTTGTGAGAATCGCTGTTCACGCAAAATTTTGTAAGGAAAACAAGCAACGTTTATTAACCATGTTTAGTGACCTTTTGACCTGAATTGAAATGACCATGAAGTAAGTCCTTTTAAATGTATATACTCTTTTATACTAGAATTAAAGAGTTCATGACAGCGCTGCATTCAATAAATGCCAAGGTGTTAAGCAAAATTATTTTCCCCTTCTTTTTGACTTTCCAGGTTTTCTCTGGCCCTTGGACTTTCTGTCTCCTGGATGTCTCTCAGGCCTTATCTTCCAAATCAAAAGAAATACATAAAAAAACATATGTATGCGCTACGTACTGGTACATATCGGTATCATTTTTCATTCCAAGTGCATTTCTAAGAGAAAAATTCACTTCCGATCGGGAGAAAGAGCTGCAGGGCTCGGTATCAAGGTACCGTGATGAAGGTACACAAAATATCACAATCTTGCATTGGAGTTCAAGATTTTCCCAACTATGCATTTTCTCTCCCTAAAAGGTTTCATCTCCTTAACTTTCCATGAATTTCCTGATTTTACTGGTCCCTTAACACCCTTTATGCTAAAACAGTCAGATTGACTCTCAGGTATCTCTCAGCACACGTCTACAGCTGATTACAAATTCCTTTTTTCTTCGTTGACTTTTTACCATGTTCAGACTTTCCTTCCTTAGGACTTATCTATTGTGGACATGATAATTATTGGTAAAGATTGAATTGGAAACTCAATCTTTTGACTAGAACAACAGAATCATTGCAACATTCTGTCACATTTCTGTTTTGTTCGTTTTATTTCATGAACTACTGAGATGAGATTTACCTGCATGACTTTGGGGAGAATAGTTTTATCAAAGTGATCTTCCAAAGTTGCTGCGGAGAAGTCTCTTTTGAATAACTCATCATCTTGATCCTGCAAACACAAAGAATATTAAGAATAATTAACTTGACAAAACCTATGAGGACTTATCTGTAACAATAGCGGATGTCGAGTTTTCACATTGTGAGAAAATCGCGTTTGAAGTTTTTGAAGCTTTGCACTTTTCCGCCCGTAGAACCGAGAGGATTCTTACAAACATTTTCATGAAGAGCAACTCTTCCGGTAAAAAACAAACGTTTTACGATATATGAAAGTGAAAAATTGAAGGAGTGACAGCGATTTGATAAAAATGTGACATCCGCTATTTTTACTGCAAACACCTTTTTATGCTTGAAACAAAGTTTTCAGGAAGGGTAAGGCTGGTGAAACGATTGAAATGAACCAAAAGTAAGTCAATTCTGAGTCAGTTAACAAAATTGAACTAGATACTAAACCGTTTGTAACTTTTACAACAAAAACAAGGAACAAATTCTAAAATCAGTTAAAAATTCAACAATTCTGGCGAGACGGTACGTATAACGTTGATACGTATAATTTGAGTGTCAGTTACAGCCCATGGCCGGTGGGCGGGCAGTTATCGCAAGTGGGTTCAAATCCCCATAGTGTCCTGCTGTGCCGGCTGGGGAAAACAGTGGATTCTCACATCCGCTGTTTTTAGAAATAACATGTTTTTCAGTTCATATCTTGCCGAAAAATTGTGCTGGAAGTCTGAAACTTTGCACAGGCATTTTTGGAGGCTCTAGATTTCGAAAAAAGCGTTTGCCCTGAAAATGGCGGATGTCAGCGACCGCCATTGTTACATATATGTCCTTATATATATATAAAAAACAAAAAAACAGAATTTTAAAATGACCATTCAAATGCTATTGGTTTTCAATAAAAATTGCAGGTTTACACTGAATATTTCTCATTGTTTTAAGATTCTTCACTTAGAAATTTCATAATGATATTTTCAATCAAGAAATATCGGTTAAAAAGAGGAAAAAGAAATGGAAAAATTGAATTCAACAGATTTTCTTACCATGAAGAAGGCTCCTCTGTGATAGTATTTCTGCATGAACTTATATTTTCCTTTGGCGGCTTTGTTAGCGATGAATTTGGGATTGTTACGGAACTCTTGTCTCCTTTCTTCTTCAGTCATGTTTCTTAACCTTTCAATCTCTTGGCGTTCTCTTTCCATTCTGTAAAAATTAATTAAATGAATGTTAAGATAAACGTTAGATGTTAGATGATTACACACAGTCATCATCAAATGCCAAAGTTAAAACTCAGGTGCGCAGAGTCCTCAGGATTTTGACTTGCGTGTACCTCTAATAAGTTTTCATAACATGGCTTCCTGCCCAACACTCACCTCCATAACATGGGGAAAACCTTATTACCACTAACCTGCCCCATTACCGAATGAAATTATTTCTTGACTATAATTTGTATATGTACTGACATTTCAATTTTACGACTTTCATTTAAGTGAACTAAGATTTAAAAAGTAAAATTAGGTGCATTTACTTACACTATTTCAAAGCTATCCACACCATAATTTTTATCATTGCTTTTTCATTTTACTTGCAGGAACAGGACAAAAAATAAGACAAAAAACTTACGCTTCGCGCTCTTCCCTATCTCTCTTGATACGTTTTAGTTCTCTTAATTTCCATTGTTCATACTCCATTTCATCGTTCTCATCATCTGTATTGACATCGTTTAAGGCTGGTTCATCATTTGTCTTCTTTTGTTCCTGTTCTTTCCGGATTTCATCTTCTACCATCTGAAAAATAGTGCAAAATTATGAGATAACCAGTAAATATCATGCATTTGGTAATGAAATCAAAATTCACATTTTCTTTGTTTAATTTTTCCCCCTTCTTTTACTTGTTACAGTTCAAAAGAGAAGGATCTCATCCCACATAGAATCATTTTTCATGATTAATGATGAAAATTATAAAATCTAGAAGATTAGGTAAAAACAAGAGTCTGCAGAATGCTCCATTCTTAATTTTTCATGAGCCTGAGGACAGCTAGAAAAATACTCTTGTGTTTCATCCGCTACATGGGTTTGTTAACAGGCCCTGAACAAACACCACAGTCTGAACGTAAGATTTCTTTAAAAATTAGAAATTTGAGAGATTCTGAAACTTCTGGAAGAAAAAAAAAAGGAAAATCAAGAGCACAAAACTTGCAATTACCCAGATTAGTTATGATCAAGCGGATCTGGATGACAAAAAATCCAGATAATCGATGGAGAAACAGGTACTCAATTACACACAGGTATCAATGAATTTGATTATATTGTATGTTTGAAATGGTGATTCTCTCTTTAAAAAACACATCTCTCCATTTGAATTGTGAACAGGTTCCAGAAAATTAGAATGTATAGAAAATGTCGACTAAAGTTGGAACTGAAAAAAATCAAAATCACCGGAGTGAACAATACTGTGACCTCACGCACTTGCTAAATAGATCCAAATGATCCTGAGTCTGAATAATTGCAAGTTTTGTGTATATAATTGCTTAACAAGCTTACTCTCAACGTCTGTCGGCGCCTTTCTTCCGCTGCTTTCTTGGCTTCGTGTTCTGCTTGTTTCTTCTTTTGCGCTTCCTTTTCTTTCTCAATCACAGTTAAACGATCCTTTTTTCGTACAAATACAGGTTTCAGTCTTGGACCAGTTTCCTCCTCCGAATCTGGAAATAATTGATACCATAAACATAATTCAATTTTGAGATGCCTTCCTTTTCAGCCAAAAAACTAAAACTACTCTTTGCATGTTAATTATTTTTTCCCTGACGCCTTCCGGGCTCAATTTCCCAACTTTAAGGGCTTATGCCCGGACCGGCTGAACTTTGGTCCAAGCAACAAAGAGTAGTTTTAGTTCTTTAGCTGACTCTTGTATTATTTTTATGAATACAATACGAAACATGAGTTGTGGTTTAAAGAATAATTCTGAAGTTTAAAATATCAATGGCTAAAAAGCGAAATGATGTACCTCTGTTGGCAACATAGCAGACTTCCTGTAATATTTCATTTTTTCTTTGAAAAAATAGTCAAAGTATGTAATTACTTTAAAACTTCCTTGATTTTTCCTCTCTAATAGCAGAATATTCCGAGTGAATTTCATGCCATTACATTGGCTTGATTCTCCTCTAAAAAATTGACTGGGAGCAGAAATTTTGAAAAACTGCGATAAAGATGCAAGGTTTCGCACTTCCGCCAGTGATAAACAGACTACAGAACCCAAATTACTCAATCTTGTATCCTTTTTTATCACCTTTACATACTGTAAACTCTATTAAAGAAGCTTCTAACTACTATGCATGATAAGCTTGTTTGCCACTAAATTTATCTACAACTTTCAAACAAAGAGATCTCAAGAGCCTCTTTACAAACCTGAATATTCTTCATACTCGGAGGATTCCTCTCCACTTTCTTCGGAAGATGGTGCTTTCTCTTCCTCTACTTCCATTTCCTGTTCTTCTTTCCTGTTTAGTACGCGCTGGTGAAGCAACTTTCTTCTCCTCTCTATTTCCTCGTCACTCAGTTCATCTTCTTCCTCGTCATCTTCACTAGAGTCATCTCGACGTCTCCTTTCCACTTCTTCCTCTGAATCATCTTCAATAACTTCTGGTTCGTGGATATGTCTGAAAATTATTACAATATTCTTAAGAAAACATGGCTAAAAAAAGATAAATGGATCACATGAAAATGCCGAAAAGAGATTACAAGTTTCAACTCAAATGAAGTATGTCTAACAAATCAAAAACGCTTTTTACACCTCACTGAAAGATTGAAATTCTAAAGAGCAGTAAGAGAAAGAGATTGGAATGAGACTTGTTCCAGAATGTTCAAACTTTTCCTCCTTTTTTCCCGAAAAATTGTTGGTTTTCAGATCTCTAAAATAATTCAGGAGAAGTCGTTTAGAACCTTTGGCTTTAAGAGTGTTGACTCTCCCTCAATGGAGTCGCTGAATCAGTTACTTGGAAAAAAGTGAAATTGCTGATTTAACAATTTTGTAGTCAAAAAGAGTGTCCAACATTTCAATACAGATTTTACAAAGAAAAAATACTAATTTAACCTCCCCCATGGTTAAATTAGCTTTTCACTTTTGTAAAATGTACATTTGAAACATATCGGACATATTTTTTAAAAATTTAATTGTTAAATCTGCAATCTATTTTTTTCTGTGTATGCTCAATTGTCGACCTGTAGCCGAAAAAATAAAAACCTTTGCCCTGATAGGGTGAAGTAAAATGGTCAAATAACGTGTACGCTCTACAGGGATGTCTATAACAATCCAGGATCTTTTGTTCTCTTACATCCACCAGAGGATAGTGATAGCTCACTTTCATGCTGCCTTTATTTTCGCACAAGTGTCAATTGAGGCACTGGATCCGAAAAGGGCACTTCTCGGTTGCAGTGTTTCAGAGTCTCCTCTGATATTTCTTTCATTGAAAGGAAAGTGAATGCATCTATTTGTCTAAAAATTCTACATACTGCATATTCCTTATGATTCTACAATTTTACATGGAAAAAATTCTGGAAACATCACCCATTAAAGTCTTCTCCAAGGGATTAATGGGCTACAGAGATTCTGAAACACCGCAATCGAGAAGTGCCCTTTTCGCATCTAGTGCCTCAATTCCTTTTTGATGGCATCGCTTTACCAGTTGCATTTAAGTGTTTAAGTGCGTATGGAGGGAGGGCTATCCCGAAAACTAATTCTTAAAAATTGTCGAAAATGGCATTATTGGCTTGCACCAAAGTTAAATTTTGATTATAACTCTTAAAAATACCTGTGACGGGCTCTTCGTTCCTCTTCCAAGCTTTCCTCGTCAATATTGTGAACTTTTTGCAACCGACGCAATCGAGGGTCCTCAGCAACAACCACTTCAGGTTGTTCCGACTCATTCTCTGCATTTTCATACTGCTCTTGAAGGAGTTGTTGACGCCGTGCCTCAATAAAATCATCATCATCAGATTCTTCCTCACTGCTAGACTGCGGAGCATAGTCTGGTCGTTTCCCCGCAACATACCGGTGAACTTTCACCTTCTGCATTGCCAGCTCACCTAGACAATAGCATTAAGATTGAAAATTTGTGCAGAGATATACATATATTAATTATATATAAGCCATCAATATAAAAGTAGATTTACATGGATTTTTTGGCAATTAAATTGTTATCAACAGAATTAGGTACTCTTTCGTTTTCCTTGTTTTTATTCTGCATTGCAAAAACTAATTAGTCCGAATTCACAGAAATTTTTTTCATCATAGGGTCCACGCTAAGTTGATGCACTTTTCGACAACATAAAATCGTCTGAAATCACTTTCACAAGTAAAGTAAATGCATAGAGAAAGATGATGGATTTTCTATTGCAGTCTTTAAGTGTGTTAACTTATTTGGCATGCACTCTACTCTACATCTCCACCTCTCATGATTCATTCCTTCCCTTCGAAGAGCATTTTCCAACAAAAGTTTCAGAGATTATCAAGAATGACTTGTGTAGATTGATAAGATTATACTGATTGATAAGATAGTCTTCTCTCAACTTTAAAGAATAAATAAAAGAGGCACCCGTTGGGCATTGACTCTTCTCTCTCCAATGTTCCATCTTCAGCCAGAACACGCTTGTATTACTCCCAATGCTGTGCAAGTCCAGCACATATTTTCAGTACCAAACTATCCTCGCCTCTAAGTCCAAAATCTTTCCTGTCACGAGGAAATCAAAAAGCTAGCTCGTCAAAGTGCATCTGACTATCTGAGAGTACTTCGGCACCTCTCGTCATCTAGTTTCCATGCAGTTAGATTTGTTAAAAATTACCTTTCTCATTTCTGATGGGTACAGCCCCAGCTGTACTTTGGATCCCCATTGGGACAGTCGGTCTAGGGTCGTTCATTTTTGGCTGGAAAATGAAAAATCACAACTAGACGAAAAACTCCATCAACTAAGTGTGATTAACCTCACTTTTCACTGTAAACAAACGTTCATTGTTGATGATTCGTCTGTTGCCTCCGTTTCCGGATGTTTACTTTTTGCAGGCAAAGACCCCCTACGATGTGCAGGCAAGATGGCTGCGTCGCGCGACGGGAACTCAGGGCAGTTCGAGCACTCTCTTCCCAATACCTACTCTAACCCATCCTATCGTCCGCCGCCTCCCTACCCCACCCNAGAGCAACAGAGCAGAATCATGGAGTCCGAGCGAGCTGCACGCACGCTCCACCAGCTACTCCCGCTCTGTGATCGCCTGCACATCGTAGGGGGTCTTTGCCTGCAAAAACGCTCAATCCCGTTTCCGTCGCCTTCCCGCCAAAATAAAAAATACGAATTCAACCGGGAAAATTCAACGGTGCGGCTTCTTCGCTGCAGGAGCGACGAGCCATTTTATTTTTGTATGCACTTCTTGAGCGAGTAATGATAAGAGCGAAGAAAAATTGGGAGGCATTGAATGAAATATTGATGTTTAGGTAGTGCTTGCTGAAAACCACTTCAACTCAAAGGATCGTGAATACTTAATATTTGATGAATGAGGTGGGGGAGATGACAATCACATTGAAACGTTTCATTCACATGTCACATACCATAACCAAAGTCTCTTATCTAAATTTTCAGCGTTCTCTTTCACATGATGTCATCATATTTTTTCAAAGAAAATAAGGTTTTTGGTTGCAAAAATAAAACTTATGAGGTTTTCCGAAAAAGAAGTGCTGGTCGCATCAAGACTCATAGTTCATATACAGATTTACGTGCGTGGTCATTGGAATGTGATCAAAACAGACAATATTTTATGGAAATTATGAGTAACGCAGTAAGTATTTCACTGATTTCATACACTTGTTAATTTATGGAGAAGAGAAAGTTGTAAAAGAAAAAAAAATCATTGATTAGCAAAATAATTAACTCTGTATCTATGACATGATCTCTTTGAAATTATTTTAATTTCGACATCCTACCATTAGGGGCTGCCGACAAGACTTTCATCCTCTTCCATCGATAACCAGAATAAGAACGACACTACTACCCTACAAGGATGCAAAGCAGAGTGCACAGAAAACATGAATGAAACCCACAGGGACAAAACATGCACGGTCCTAATGAGACCACCAAGGAGTGAAACATGTTGTGAACAAAACTTCGAGCATGATATTGTTGAGGTAATATAGTAATTGAGAAACATTATCATTCATCTGAGTCGTTGTCTAAAATCAGTTTGCGAGTCCCATGCTGATCTTGCGTTAAAACATATTCTGGAAAAAACCTACATTCTACATTTATCATTTACTGGGTAGATCAGTTTGTTCCTAACGTAAACCAAGCTATGTCCATTTTGCACTGATAATACTCCACAAAACGCGAACAAGATATAAACGAACTTCATAAAGACACTTCAAACTTTGAAGTCAAAGCAATGTGGTTCTGTGTTAATGTGTTTTTGAACTTTCATCAGCGGTAAGCTGACCTTTTATAGTTTGACGATACAGATTCATGATTTCAAAAAAAAAGTATTCTGCTTCATCATAAAAACTCCAAAAATGTAAAATTTAAATTCTTTTGCTGATAATATGTTTGTTTTGTGGCTGGAAGATCGGCCTTGAATTATGTAAAAATAAAAGTAGAGCGTGAAAGCCTTAAAACTCCCTATCAGCCTAATATCCCTCTTAAGGCTGACTGGAATCGCTTTTTATTTTAATCAAGTTATCATGACTTAAAACTCAAACCTGATAAATTCATTTTTCTTATTTACAGATCTTTGAACTGATAAATTTTGTTGTTTGTTCTGTTCTTTGAAGTAAGCTTCAGTCTAATTTGACTAGCAGGGCTTGTCATTTTTATTTCCATTCCTATCAATCCATTGCAAAATTTGGGTCGTATTGGGTTCTGTTGAACTATTGGTCTTTCTTGGAGCTCCAGAGTATATTCATTCATTTTTTAGAATGTTTTAAATTTAAGATAGGAAATGAACTAAGCAGATGGTAATTTCAATACCAATTAATTTTGACTGTCCTTCAACTTTAGGGAAGAGACAATGTTTTGAAAACTGCGAATAATCTGCTGTTGGAATATCTCAACACCACGGGCCGTAGCTCTTTGAATTTTGACAAAAGTGAAAAACATTATGGCCATGAGGGGAGGAAAAGAGTAAGTATTTTTTGGCTTACATCGAGTTGATTAAAAATTAGAATTTCCTCTTCCATCGCACAGTTATTTCTGATCGTAATTGTATCGGCTCAAGCAAAGACCGCTGATGTCCACTATTTCATCAATTGAGTTTTTTGGTTTTTTAGACTCCTGACTCCAGGAGGCTTGGAGATTTGATTTGGGGTATGCTTGTAAAACCCTAATTAATTTTGCGATCGATGACTTGTGATGTTCTTTGCAATTCTTTCGTATTATGAAAAAATTGACAAAACCAGTTTTCGCATGAGCCCATACAATTGTTTTTAATACATATCGACGGTGAAACTACCAAACCACGTATCTCGGTTTGCGACGTCGCAGACTTCCTGTCATACTTTATTTTTTAAATGAAAAACTACTTAACATCCAGTCTTGAAAATTTCTGTGATTTTTCCTCTTTGTGCGGAGAAAATTCCGTGAAAATTTCAAGGAATGATATTGATTTGGTCTACTTCAAAAAAATAAAATGTGAGCGTAGATTTTTAAACACCGCAAACGAGATACGTGGTTTGGTAGTTTCACCGTCGATATCTGAACAGCATGACATGCAAAAACTATCTAACTTCTGGGGGCCAATTGGAAATTTTACTACCTCTGAACGAAAAAATTCAACATTAATAGCCAATCCAATGCAGGCATTAATTTTAACTTTGGCCTGCGGAGTTCAAGAGGTTATTGGTGCAAGTGCATTTCAAACAATAATTCTTCCCTCTTTTATCTCTCAAATGTCACGAAAATATCTTAATGTGTGCGATACTCTTAAAAGAACATTCTTTTTAGTTACCCTCTAGTTTCTTAAACATTTCAAGACACACGTTGAGAAAATCTGTCTTTTTTAAACAGCAAATATAATGATCTACGAGGGAGGAAAAGTTTTTTCAGAAATTCGGAACTTCCTGCTCACTCCTTCCATAAGACAGTTACTCTTGAAGTGCTTCCGGTTTCTTTCAAAAATTGTTTGTAATTTTCAAAATTCTGCACCGACTAAGAACGTTTTTTTTTCTCTATTTCAGATAGCCTCTTTCCAAAGGTGCTTGAAAGTTATAGATAACCTTAGTAGACAAAATGAATGTTTGCGACGAATATCACAACTTCAAGGAACCTGTTCCAACAAGCATGTAAAAGCAAAGCTAGACTTTTTACGAAAAAGGCTCAACTGGATGATGGAAAAAAATAAAGACTTTGATGCTGAGTACCAGCTATTTTCTGATGATCCTGATTGTAGACTAAGAAGTTGCATGCGTGATCTCAGGCGGGAGAATTGCTTGCTGCTTGACTACATTGACTTTTCAGACAGGTTGTCAGAAAAACTAGCTCAAATACAAAAGAGATACCTGAGTCTCTCAAGGAATCAAAATTTACTGCTTAATTGCGTAAATCAAATTGAGAGCATGTAACGATTAAAACATACCTGGAATATGTCAAAGAGGAGAGTTCAAGAATTTTATAAACAATGATACAACCTTTGAAAAAGAATTCCTTAATTATAGATAACTTTAAATTTTGCAGTGGCCTTGGTGCCAGTTACCCTCTTTCATAAAGCTGCTTTGCATTTCTTGTGAACTAATATCTTGCATACAGCTTGAATTTTACACATGTGTGTCTCAACGTTCTTATTGTCCACTCGAAGCAATCTTAATAATAAAATTTAATGACTACAGTACTTAATCTTAGTAGAGGGAGCATTTTTATTTTCGTTTCATGTTGGATGACTGTCTGTTTAATTAAATTTCACTTTTCCGAAACCAGAAATATTCGAAATCAGGTGAATGATGTCAAAAATAAAATTTACTTCCTTTGCTTTAAAAAAATTAAAGAGGAAAACATTACAATGTGATGTCAATGATTAAAAAATAAACAAAAAACAAACATTACACCATTCTTCTCCAATTTTCTGCAAAATAAGTTCGGACCATCATGATCGCCTTGCAGTCTTGATTTCGCTGCGCTCACTGCCTTTGCCATCTGCAAACAGGATACCAATAAGTTACAAATTTGCTTACATGTTCCTGACACCAAATATTGTTGAGCTTGTTGTCTTTGTAGAGTTCATAAATTTGTACTGGAAAAAATTCTAAGATATTGATTTAAAAAAAAATCATTTATCCTTCTTCTACTGGTTGAAGCTCCAGACAGTGATATGCAAATAACATGGTACAGCAAAAATGTTGAAAAAGAAACAGAGTGAATTGACAATCAAACTGCAAAAAGTATCTTGCTCTGTGGCGCTACAGCCTTCGTAAGGTGGCTATTTTTTTTTAATTTACTCTTCCCCGGTTTTCTTTTTTCTTCTGTTTATTATCATACAATTTTTTTACGTGAGAGAAGACATGAGCGCTGTCAAAGCAAACAAGCTTTGCTTCTGACTGGCTGAGGATGACTAATAAAAGTTGGTGCAATGCTCTCGTTGAGAAAAATCATTAAAAAAATGAATCTGTTATTTCTTTTGGGACTGTACTTGTGCACCCCTCCCACCACTAAAAGTCTGCACGCTCCACCCTTTTTCATCATTAAAACCAACTCGAGCGGCTGCATCAGCTGCTCTGCTCTCCAAGAATATTTCTCCTCTTTTGATTAAATCTTCTTTAATTTATTTTAATACAAACAGGCTAAGAGGCCCATACAAAAAATAAAGACAAAAATTTAAAAAATACAGAATTCTGTAACTTTTCACGAATTTTTCCTCTCTCATGAGCATACTATTTTTACATCAACGTATATAAGAATAATTTGACATAAAACTCATTCTAGAGTTTACCTGCAACTTCTCGGGATGACATGTCAGTTGTGAGATCCTTTTTCAGTGAATCTGAGGGTAGAACTGAGAACTGTTTAAAAATCGCTCATTGGCTCAAATAAGAGATTCGGCTTTCATTGAATTCTTTCAGGTATTTCTTGTCTGTGAATCTGCAAAAAATTATATCAAAGCTTTGATAAATATCATATCTCTGGAGGTTTGCAAGAATATCTGATACTCTCCTAATCAATAAAATGTTGCACATATAAAAAATCACACGGTTTGAAACTATTAGACCTGCTTGATAGCTTGCTAAGTGGCCTTGGGATTCGGTGAATATATGGCGCGGAGCTTTAAATTAAGAAAAAAGCTCTTAGAGAGATTGCTTCTCCAAAAGCCTCATTTTTATAGAAATATTAAATTACATTTTTTAATAGAAGATACGGAACAATGTAAACATAGAAAAAATTGAAATTCTGATAGAGAACAGATGAGGATAGCACTTTTGGTTTTACAGTGGTACAGCAATTAAGAGATTTAGTTGCCAATTTTGGTTTGGAATCTTGAGCTCCCACTGCAAAACAAGAAAGTAAGCATTCGATGATCAAATGGTAAAATTGTAGTTCAAGAATGTGTAAAGCAGTAATACATATGAACTCAATTGAACAAATTTCCAACATTCTTGAAACATAAGATCCTTCATTAAGTTTTAGTTATAAGGTACTTTTCCTGAAAGAAACTTTTGCTGATTTATTTTAACCTGGATTTACTTTTTGCTAAAAAGTTTTTGCATGCCTATAGACAGAAGAAAACTGTGAAAAGGTAATTTAGGGCAACATCAGAAGCCAAATTTACCTAAGCTCCCACAAGCATTGTAATGATGTTAACATTTGGACCAAATACTAGCTTAGCCTTGCCCAAAATCGACTTGAACAATTTTCTCTGGCTTAAAATCTTTTTCTGTTAGGAGAAAGAAAAAAGTAGATCGCACTTAATAGAGAGGAATCGACTTGCTTGCAGTGTTGTGAAAATCGTGCATCTTCACCTAAAAAATGCTTAGAAGGTAAATCGCTTTCGATAATTGAGGTAAGTATTATTTCACTCTTATGCATAGAAAACTTTGCAATCAGGCAAACCTTGTGGGTGATCACAATTACAATTTAGTACTCGGCTGAAAGAAAGGTGCGGACTTTTCTGAAATTGTTTTCTTTCATAGCTTTTCTTTGCTTCTTCGAGCAAATTTTTGAAGGAAGACTTCTGTTTCTTCAAGTTGCTGTCATACTGTTTTTTACAGATCTCAAGTTCCTGCACAACGAGCCTCCGCGAGAAGGCTGCCTCTTCGTTTACATGTTTCATGATCTCTTTCAGACTTGTCTTGTATTGGGCTTCAAATTTTTCTAAGCTCTCACAAAGTGTACCACGAATGGTAACTTTTTCATTGTCAAACGCTTCGGATATGAGTCTCAGCAGAGTTTCATATTTATTTACAGTTGTTGATAACTCAGCACTGAATTTCTCCTCGGATTCAAATATGATATTTCGAAGGGTGAGGAGAGTCTCTGAAAACTGGTCCATTAAAGTTTCCCATTCTTTCACTTTTAACAGGTAGAAATTCCGATAGTCTTTCAGTATTTTAAGATTCGATTCTTCAGTTCTTTCCATATTTTGAGAGTAGATTTCCTCGGCGAGTTTCAATTTTTCGACATAAATTGTACTCAAAGATTTAAATTCTTGGTTGTGGCTATTTTTAAGCTCCATCAATTTTTCTTCAAACCTATTTCTCAAGTCAGATATTTTTTGTTCATAATAACTTTGTACTTGAATAATTCTTTTCGTTTGGTCTTCAAGAGCTGTATTTTTTTTTAGCCTAAATTCACCCCCAGATTTTGTGACAGTTCCCCTTTGAACATCTTTGACTGACATTGCCTGCTCATTAGAGGAGCTTTCAGGTGAATTTTTTGGCGTGAGGGGTTCACTTGTTTTGCTATAACGCTCTTTTAACTTTATGTCTTCATTATTCAAATTGTTTTCACAAGAATTTCGGATTGTATTTACATCTCCACTGTATTTATGCGCTGGGACTGCAGGCTTACATAAAGTCTTCAAATTCTCTTTTAAGGTCGAAATCTCCCTCTGCAGGTCAGCCACTTTTTGTTCATAATAACGTCTATCTTCCATGTTTTTATGAGCAAGCGTTTCATTTAGATCCTTCACTCTTTCTTCAGACTCACAGTGTTCGAATTTTTTTGGACTTGAGTAATCCAGTTTCAAATTTATCAACTGTCTATGAAGTTTACAAAACTTCAAGCGCCAAAAGTTTATTTTCATGAACCAATTCTTTTTGGAGAATTTTCTCGATCTAAGAGGTGCTTTCAGTTGGTTTGAAATTGAGGTGATTCTATCATTTTCACGAACAGGCGTTTGGTTTTTGGGAATGACACTATCGCAATCACTGGTATCGCAACTGTCGTAAATTTCATTAATTTCAGCCAAAGTCTGCAAACTGGTTAATGCACTATTTTGCGACACTAAATCATCATCGTTTTCCTCTGAGATTTGAGGAGAGCTACAAACTAGGCGAGGATATCTGTTGTTCGTTGATTCTACAGCATCCAAAATAGAAAAAATTAAATCGGAATAACCTAAATCCATTGCTTTATGGCAACCACTATTTTTTTCCCACAAAATTAAACTGGAGAGAACTAGGTCATTGAGTGGGAAATCCTTTTCTTCCCCAAAATTGGGAAGGAATTGTTTTAAAGCATTAATAAAACACATTTCTATCTCAGAAATCTTCATGCCAGTCAAAGATTCGACTACTCCATCATCATATTGATATAATTTGATTTGAGTGACGAGTTTACGCAACTGGGCATTTTTCTCTTCCTTCTGAAAACTATTTATTTCGGGTGTTCTCACCACTAAAGAGTATTTGCTTAGTTCATGAAAAGAGCTTTTGGATGAGTTCCGGCAGAGGGTTTTTGAAATCTGTTCGGAAGGTATCAAAATTTTAGTTGATGATGCATTTTTTGAATTTAATCCGGCCACTCTTGTATTCTTTAACTTACAAAAGTCATCAAATGCGATTGCTTCGACTAATGCGTTGACAATAGTATTCAACATTGAATACATATTTTTGGTGTCGTTAACACTTTGATGACTAAAAACACCTCCTGCAAGTGTTGAGGAAGGCCAACTATTCCCATTTGTTGTAATAAAAGGCTGACTGTTGTACAACACAAGATATTTTTCATGAGATCCAGATCTGCTTAGTTTTTCAAACATTGAATAGAAGAAAAATCCAGGTGAAATTGGGTACAAGCTGGAGTCAATGTGTATGGAAGCCGTTTTGCTTGAAACTTCAAAACTCATTGGTGTAAAAGTACATAAATAATTTTCTTGCGAGGATTGGCTAAACAATATTTGAAAGTCACCTTGGCTATGCACCTTGATAATTTTTTGGAATAAATTTGATATTTCTTGATTTTCAAGGTCATCCAAATGAACAATAATCACCATGTCATTTGTTGGTTTTTGTTTGGGCTCAATCTTGATTTGAAAATTTAGAAACAAGTTTCTCAAAACAGAATAATATTTACGGAAAATTTGATGGAGCGAAGGGAAATTTCCAAGTTTTCGGAGAATGGAGCACAGATCCTCGGTCGAACTTAGAGAGACTGATGATTCCTGAGTCATGGTCTTCGAGACTTTATCTACACAAATATGTAGAGGACATCTTCTTGATAGTTCATTTTTGGATTTTTCCACCAAGAATTGCTCACTCAATGAACCAACGTTCTGTTTTTCATTTGATATAGAATGATTCTGACATCCTTTATAAGGGCTGTCGGAGGATTCAATTGATTTCCACATACATTCATCTGCGATTGAGAAGGTACTTCTGATTTGATTACAACAGTTATCATCCATTGTCCCATGCGTTTTGTTTAGAGTTTCAATTTCTCTTCTCAACTCACCAGTGCAATTTTGGTAATTTTCCAAAGTCTTCCTATTTTCAGATAGAATGCCATTCAACTGTTCGACCTCTTTATTTGTATTTGATAAAATTATTTTTAATCTTTGGTTTTCAATTTCAAGTTCATCAAGCCATGATTGTTTCGACATATTTTCATCGGTTAAACCTTCGTCTTCTTGAATTAATTTCGATGAAAACAATTTCTCCACTAGTGGTTTATCATCAGGGCAAAGTTCCAACAGCATGTTCTTGGGGGTGAAAAAGTGAGATTTGCTGGAATCGTTTGTTAAATTTTTCCCAAATATATCAGGATCTGAAAAAGTTCGGCGAGGTGGATCTGAAAAGTGTTTATGACAGGGATCACCATTGTCAAAAGCTTTGTACAAAGTTTGATAGAGATCATCCATTTCTCTTGACAGCCGACACAATGCAGTATGAATAATATTCATCAAAAGATTGATTTGGCTGGCTGGAACGTTAGCTTCCTGGAAATATTCAACCACATAGAGAGTCATTTTGACGTTTCTGAGAGCTGGGTTGAATCTCATGTCTGATAGAAGGCACTTCAAAGATTCTGCTTCAAGCAACTTTTGATCAAGATGTTCTAGTTTCATAGAGCAGTACTTTCGATAGAATTCCTTGGTGTTCGAGAGGACAAGAACTTGATTCTTAAGAAAATCAATGTCAGATTCGAGTTGATATATATAAACTAACAGCTTGTCACGGATTTCTTCTTGCTTTGACAGTTCATTTGATTTTTGTTCTAAAGAGTTTTCTGCCAACTTCTGAGGATACAAAAAATTCAAGTGAGTATAATACATCACCTTCACAGTACTTAAACACTAAAGAAGCAATGTATCCAAATTGTGAAGTTTTAAAATCTTTGCACCGTATTTCATCACGGAAAAAAATAAATTGCTGATTCAACAATTCAATTGCTAATAACAGTGAAAGCAATGTTTCAACGTAGATTTTACAACAAAAAAATGCTACTCTAACCACATTGTAAACTAATTTAACCACGGGGTTGGTTAAAGTTGTATTTTTTTGTTGTAAAATCTACATTGAAACATTGCACTCACTGTTTTTAGCAATTGAATTGTTGAATCAGCAATTTAATTTTTTTCCGTGATTTTCTCAGAGGAAAGTGACCAAAATTTTACAAGAAACGTGTAGATGGTATGGTAATTTTTATGAGCAGAGAAAAACAATGCTAAATTCCATTTATTAAAGACAGATACCTAGTTTTCTTTCATAAAATAAAATAAAAAATAAAAGTCAACTTCCATCATTATACACCTTGATGCAAAGTTTTCTCGTTTCACTAATAACCTGTAATCTAAATGTTTTATTCTCATTAAAGACAGCCAACCAACAGTTATTCTCAGAATTTTCCATCAATTTGTTTCACACTAGAGAGTTCCAAGCAATTAAGGAGGAGTTGCGTTTTGGGCCTTTTCCGGCCCCACCTNAACAATGCTAAATTCCATTTATTAAAGACAGATACCTAGTTTTCTTTCATAAAATAAAATAAAAAATAAAAGTCAACTTCCATCATTATACACCTTGATGCAAAGTTTTCTCGTTTCACTAATAACCTGTAATCTAAATGTTTTATTCTCATTAAAGACAGCCAACCAACAGTTATTCTCAGAATTTTCCATGAATTTGTTTCACACTAGAGAGTTCCAAGCAATTTTGGTTGCTTTCTTTGGAAAAAATGAAATATAATCCGAGATTTTTAAATAGTGTAAAAAAGGTATGTATTTTTCGGCTTTAACCTTTGACATGTCTCTTGAGGCAAATCCCATTATCAGACAGCTCTTAATTTTCCTCGCAAGTAACTGAGGGAAAAGCATCTCTGTTGGATATAAAATCTGCAAGTAAAGAGGATTTAAATGAAAATTTGGAGTATGATTTTGGGTTTAAAATATGCAAGAAGTTCCGAAAAAATATATTTTGCCAACAATCTGATTACCGATAATGGCACGCTGGGATTATCAGAAAGAAAAAAATAATAATAATGATAATAAAAACACACCTGTTGCTGCAAAAGCTGAACCTTCAGAGCATCTCTCTGGCTTGTGACAGTTTTCAAAATTTGCTGAAGATTTTTGGAATCTTTGGCATTTTCCCTTCCTTTTGCAACTTGGAGGCGCAGTTGATCAAGTTCTCGTACCAAATCACTGTGCATGCTTAGCTTCATTTCTAAATTTTCGATGCAATCTTGTAAAAATTGATTTTCAGTCACTAAGCCCTCAATTTTCTTCCCCAGGTGAAGATTATCCAACGAGAATTTAGCATTCAGAGTTTCCAACTTTTCATTTTGTTCTCTGATAAATTCATACTTAGATTTCAGGATCTTATTCTCCTCAGCCAAGCGAAAGATGGTAAGTTCATGCTCGCTTCGTGGAAGATTATCTACATCATTGAGGTCATTACTTTCAGAATGGCACTCTGTTTCCAATGATCGAGTTTCAATGTTTTTGTTGGCATGTTGATTCAGCTCTGTGACAATTTTGTCCATTCTTGGCGAAATCTGAAAAAAGTAAAACAATAGTGAGTACTGGCAAGCAAAAGCGAAACTGGTGAAAATGTTTCAATCACACTCAGTGTCTTCTGTAGAATGATCCAAAAGTCCCCACCATCAGCACTCCATATCATCCCTGTAATTTTTGAAAAAACTAATATAGAGATTTGGAACTTTGTGATTGCTCCTATGTCAAAGGAAATGACGCCCCAAAAATATTTTAAAATTTTGAACATTTTTTGACTTTTGGGATCCCCAAAATGTTATGGGGAATACCCCAAAAAGGGACAAGAATCCTGGGGGTTATGGGGATGGTGCAGAACTTCTGAATCACCCTGTCGATTAGGATTCTTGATTTTATTCACTTGAAAGAAAAAAGATGACCAGTTCGTCTTGCAAACTCATGAGACAAGTATCTATGGCTATGGCTAAGGAACACTATCGCTAACCTGCATACTGACAATTTTACCGGACGAAAAGTTTGCCATTTATGTAATTTTAAGATTTAGTTTGAAATTTTTATTATACAATATAGCGCCATTACAGCCCTCTCCTGTGGAATTGGAAAATCTAACAACCTCAGCTTCCGTATTTTATACCGTAGAATGCGGCAAAGTTTCCGACTCATTTTTTCAAAATTGTCAGTTGGGCGGTGTTGTCCCTTACCCATCGGTATGTTACCTTTGTAAAGGATCAGGTTTGAATAATGAACACTTGGATTAGCGTTTTGCACCAACAGGTAGAAACAATTTTCAGAATTTTAACAACATTTTGATACCTACAAATTCTAGTTTTGGAGCTAATTATTTTCGAAGAAAGGATCCCCTGATCGATGTAGGTATTTGTGCACTTTTTAAACAATTTTTTTACGTTTGAATTTAATGGTCAATGATATGAGGACACACTCAATTTGGAATGGTGGTTTTTCAATCAGGGTGTCTACTAAAACTGGCTGGCAAAGAATCAGCACTTTTTTAATACTTTCCCAAACAATTCAGTACTTACCTACTTCACCAGTAAAACAATTCAGTACTTTTACGGTACTTTAATGTGACGAAATTCAAAAAAATTCGAAATTCACGCACAAATCAAAACAAAAATGACAGTACCGGGAAATTCAAAGCTAATTGATAGCCTGAGAGTCAACTGACTGCAATATCGTGATCAAGCGGGAAAATACTGCGCCAAAATCAATTCGCAAGGGATCGTATACTTTCTAGGCTGTTTTAAGAAAACACATTTGGCAAAAAATTTCAGACCGTAAAGCGGAAAATGCATATTTTTTCAGTACTTCTGGACCGCCTTAAAAAAATCAATGCTACTTCCAAACCCTCCGGATTTTCCAGACCAGTAGACACCCTGCCAATATTTAAAATTTGAAACAAATCAGAGTCTAATTAGAAAGAAAACGTACAAATGCTAGAGAGTAACTGCTAAGTACAAACCAAGTCAACCTCCTTTTTTTCCAACGATGACTCCTGAGAGTGGTAGCCAATATTTTTTTCAGCATTTGGAGTGAATGCAAGCAACGGTTCCAGTGAGTATTTGATATCATTCTGTCCTTTGATCATTCCTCGAGGATGGTCGTTCTAAAATCATTTGATAGATAAACAGCAGATATTTTTGTGAGTGGCACACTAGTTGAAGTGTAAGGAAAAGGCTGCAAAATAGGGACAAAACCAAAAGTTACTATTTTCCGAAAAAACATGAAATTTCAAGAACACAGATAATTCCTCCCATGCCTTTTGAACTAAAGAGGTTAACTGTAATAAGATAAAATGTATGATTGAGCTGGAGTTGATGAGTGGAGATTTGGTGCAAGCATAGGTTAGTGGCATTGGAGTGAATTTCCATGGCGAGGAAAACTGCTTTTTCTAAAAGGGTAGATAAATTACATGAGTGAATGACACTTGTGTGACATTTAAAAGTGCTTGAAGATGAGACATTTGTCGACATAAAATACTATTTAATCATTTCAACCGCATGAAAACTACAAACTGAAAAGGTAAATTTTAGGCTTGGTGCACACTAAAGGTATGAGGAACAGACTTGAGCAAGGAGGCGACATCAGACCTCATGTAAGAATAAAAATCCTCAGACGGTAAGCGTTTAGCACCATCCTAAAAGGAGAAATTGTTTGTATTTTGCCATGGGCCACTGATGTTTGCTTGAAGTAATTACTTTGGTCTCCACATGCAATAAATTTTTTTTTTTTTTTTTTTTCAAATAGCCTGGAAGGCTAATCCCATTCAGCTTCACGCACCGTTCATTCACCAATTCATAAACCCACTCTGTCGACTTCCCTCAACAATCTCCCATCACCCCAGTTATCGTTCTGATATATCCTCATTTTAAACAACAAGTTCATTTTAAATGCCTTCAGCCCCAATTCTTCCAACTTATAACATTTAAATTTACTATATTCCCTTACCCCTTTATAGAAAACCATCTTATCCACATTACCCTTTTCATGATATGCCCAGACTTCACCTCCATGTCTAGTCCCTTTTGAATTATCACCCCACATTAGCTTTTTTAATTCCTCATCTACGCCTTTTATATAACCCTTCTTAATTTTGTAAATAAATACGAAGGCTCTGTATTTGATAAACAGTTCTATACACAACCACTCCAACTCATTTAACATTCCTCCAATGTTCTCTTCTCTACCCCTTTTTAAAATATACCTCATTGCATTATTTTGCCCCACTTGTAACCTTTCAATCACTCCCTTCCCAGCTTCAAAGAGTACGGTTGTACAGTGATTTAATATCGCCCCCACTACTGCATGGTACATCAATTTCTTCCCCTCAATCGTCAACACATTTTTCATCCTCCAAAGCAAACTTACTCTCCCTCTATATTCACTCACTATTATTTCAATTTGCCTGTCCCATCTCAAGTCCTCAGTAACCATCACCCCCAAGTATTTATATTCCCTTACTCTCCCTAATATCTCCTCCCCAATTTTTATCCTCACCTCTAAGTTCCTATACTCTTCTTTCGAACTAAATACAACAAATTTGGATTTTTCTCTATTGAGCTTTAATTTATTTATTCTTAACCATTCATCTACTCTATTCAGTTCCTCAGACAGTTTTTCTTGTACTTCCGCTAGGTACATCTTCGCCTATCATGTAAATCAATGTGTCATCTGCAAACATTCTAAGCTTACATACACCCAGCACCTTTTTTATATCATTAATATATATTAAGAACAGCACTGGCCCCAATCTACTCCCTTGCGGTACCCCTAGCTCGACACACAATTCATTCAAATCATTGGGACGGTAATGAGCAATCAACTACTTGTTAGCTTGAGAATCTCACAATTGATTCTCCTCACGAAAAAGGTACTTTCAGAAAAATCATGATAAAATCAATTTCTTACCTTCCTTGGAGTCATACTTATCAGTGTTACTGTAAGATTTGAGGGTTAAAATGTCTGTAGGAAAAACATGCCGAAGGAACGTACAGTTTGAGCTCAGCGTGAAAACTCTGTTGGATGACGCTTCAATCTTTGTTGCAAACATAGCTTGATACACTCAATTAACAAGGATCAGATATCTCGCATAACTGGCGAAAGATTTGATGTGGGAAATTTTGAAAATTGAAAAAGATTTTTTAGAAACCAATCGAACCCTCTCATACTTTCTTCGCCTTTTTTTCCTTCCTCCACTCCGGTGTTTACAAAATAGTGTGAGCACGATTGCCATGTCTCTTGATAATCCACATTTAAAAACAGAAAGAATTCTATTTTGCTCCTTCAAAAATAATGTCAGGTGAAAATAAAATAGGATTTCACTGCTAACGGAACACATCCACAAGATTGATTACTTACGAGATTGACTTATAAGCAATTAAATATATGCACTGCGTAATGACGTTTAGGAAAACAGAACACGATTTGGCAACATAACCATGCAACATGTGGAAGATTTAAGGTTATGTTTCAGTGTTTTCAAACCTCAGTTCTCTGTTTCAAACTGCTTCAGCTATTCAACATTCTAAGTTAAATAATTTTTGAAAATTCAGGCATTTAACAAGCCGGCGATTAGTGCAGGTAGATGTTCAATAATATTCGGTTTCTCTAACAAAGTCAGTATCGGTAAAGTCTCCTTTAGTCGTCTGAATATCAGAGTGTACAATGATTAGCGATAGCGATATGGAGATCTTAAGACCAAAAATTATCAACATCGCTGGCCGGTGTTATCGAGTCCATAACTTTGTGGAAAATACCTCTAACCTACCGGATACCTCTGCTCCTGGCCCGTATCATGAATTAGGTATGGTTTTTAGAAATAGCAATCATTAAATAGCTTTGCTTTAATTCAGATCTGTCATGGCATTACCGGAATGATGCAAGGCCAATGCCTCTCATCGTCCCTCTTGGATCTTGCGCTTTGAGCCTCGAAAACAGAGTCAGATTTTGTTGTCAGCAGTTTCTCCA